GTTTTATTCTGTGAACATTGTTGCAAGTCAGGCTGTGTTTCTTGTAGACAACATACATTTGGGTCTTGTTTGTTAATTGAATATTTTAATCTATGTCTTTTGAGTTGATAACTAACTCGATGTGAATCCAATGTTAATGAGGTGTGTTTCTTTATAATATAGGGTTCATTCTTTATTTCTATTTGCTTATCCACTCTTCTAGTTACATTTATTTTTTTATATTCTCCCATGATTTATTTTAATCTTCTTCTTGTGTATATAGAATTCCATAGTGAATCTTCTACACTGGCAGGTTAGTTGTCATAGTTTATTTTAGTTTATTCTTGTCTTGAAAGGTGTTTATTTCTGAAGAATAACTTTGATGCAGATAACAATGTAGGCTGGCAATACTGAAGTAAGACAGATAAGACTGGACACCAGAGGAATTAGCAAAATGCAGGTTTATTGTCTGCAGCCTGTCCAGAGGGGGCTTTCACCTGAAACAAATTCTCTCTATGAATGCTGAGTCTAGACATTTGTTGAGCTTTATACCCGGTGGTGTGGAAATGGGAGCCTGGAAGTATACATTTTGCAGGGTTCTACATGAAAGTTATTTTTTTTCTGTGAGTTATCAGAAGTTACCTATTGTCTCATTTCTTAGAACTGTCAGGGATTTTACAGATTATACCACAAAAGCAGAGTACATCCATTAAGTCCAGGGATAAATTCAGTTTTTTTCAAGACAGAGCAGATCAACAGAAAATAGGGTGTATAACAACATTTGAGTCATTTTGTAGAGATCTTAGCTAATATATTGTAAACAAGAACAATTGTGGTGAGGGTCTCTGGGGAAGCTTAATGAAGATGCATTTGTGGAGGAGGGGGTGCCTCTATAGTATTTCTGTTTTAGTGCTTGAAATATATTATTGCATGTCCTGCTGGCCCTTAGAGTTATCCAGATGCTTTACCATTTACCAATAACTTGGTGCTTCTCTCTTAAATTTGTAAAAATCTTTCTTTGATCTGAATTTTGGCATTTTAACCAAACTATAATGTAGACAGTTTCTTTTTGGCCATGTCAATTTGGGCTTCTAAATGCTTTCTGTGCCTGGTGTTCTTATTTCCACAATTAAATATTTTTTTCTGGTGCAAGTTCACTGAATAAGTTTCTATGCCATTAGTCTGTCTATACATTCCTTCCTTCAAGACCTTAATCTCAATTGGTCTTTTAAAGTTTTCCTAGAATGCTTGGATATTCTTTTTTTTTTTCTCAGACACAATACATGATATTTATTTATTTTTTTATTATTTTTTATTAGATACATATGACATTACAATGATCTTGGCAATTCAAACATTTGAATCAATTGGGGTATAGTTTCTCATTTTTTCTGATTGTACAGATTTCAGAATCACACTGGTCATAGAGTCACCTATATACATACAGCAATCAAAATGTCTATTCTATTCTGCTGCCCTTCATATGCCCCCTTTCCCTCCCCTCCCATCCCATCATTTCTCTCTATCCAAACTAATGTTACACACTGTTTTTCTCTTTTTAAAGTCTCTCATTTTTATTACATTAGGAAAGTTCTGCATCATCCATATTGTCTTCAAGACTTAATATTCTTCCATCAACCTGATGTAGTATATTTTCAGTACTTCTCATTTCGACTTTTATTTGATTTAATAAACTTATTATTTCCAAATTTTCTGACCTTTTTTTCCCCAGAAACTCTATTTCATTGTGAGGATATTCTTTCAAAACCTGGATTTCCTTCATTAATTCATGTTTTAGTCCTTTAGTTTCTGAAATTATTTTCATAATAAATTGTTTGAATTCTTTGCTATCCTACACATCAATGTATGTGTAGTAAGTTATTAGGGATTTAAACACTTTGGGTAATGTGTTAGTGCCTTGCACTCTCATTTTCTTGTTTTAATATGCAGAGGTTTGTGCAGATGTTCAAATAGATTTCTATTCTCTTAGATGTGGGTCACTTTCTTCAACAGATTTCTCTTCAGATATTCCCCAAACAGATTGTATGTTTGTTCTATTTTCAAAGCCCCAACTCATTGACAAAAGTGCTGGGACCACTAATCCAAATTACTTTTAGAGGAAAGTATAGCCACCAGTAATATCTAAAAGTTAGAAGCTAAGCACATGTTGAGTTAAGACCCAAAGGAAAAACTTTTAAAAATGATCTCTACAACTCAGGTAACCAATGAAGAAGTGGTAATAATAAACAATATCCAAAATTCAGCTGTGAGTGATTCTAAAATTAATACTAAAATACACAGAAAAAAGAAGAAAAAAATGAAAAAAGAAAAATAATGCAAATACAAATGAAAAATAAGAAAGCAAGTACAAAGAAAATTAAACAAAAGATCATGTATGTTAGAAAGTGAAAAACAAATGATTAAAAAAAGCCATTTAAAGATTCAGTGCCAAGAAAAGTATGGTTTCCTCATCTGATATAATTCAAATATAGACAGTTTCTTCCCCAACTTCTCCTTTTAAGATTAACCATTTTGGGGGTGTTTCTGGGGAGCAACTATAGTTGTACTTTTTTCTTCTCAATTCTAGCCTGAACAGGCCAGTACTGGTTGTGGAGTCTTGAATGTTGAAAAGTTTCATTCGTGCCTACCAGGAAGTACTATAGAACCATTTTTATATGAAGAGGTAAATCAGTCACAATATTGGTTTTTTTTATGCACCTGGGTATGGGGCTCTGGTTAGAGTAGAAGCTATCAACAAAACTCTAGGACATGGAGCCTGTGGGTCAGTCTGTGCTGAAAATCCCAATTCCACACTTCTTTCAGTGAGCTCAAGGTCATGCAAGACTTCAAGTCTCCATGGTTGGTTTAACTTCCTCTAAGCATGGTAGAGATGGACTGCATGCAGGCCTGTGCTTGGTTGGGGGAGATGCAGGAAACAAGCTTTTCAAAAGAACTTTCAAAGCTTTCCAAAAATGTTCTGTCCCACAAAATCACATGCAACTCATCTTCTTTTCTTTTACTAATCTCAAAACACAAGTTTTAAAAGGGAGATGTCCCCACTGCCCTCCATTCTATAATGCAGCCAACCAGCACACCATACTTCCTGCTGATCAGAGTTTTCAACATATATCTCTTAATCTGGACCAAAAGGGTGGGTATACACAATTCCAGTAAATAGAGGCAGTCCCTGTGTCTTGGAGATAAAACATACAGGAGACCCTGATATCTCAAAGACAGAGTTCCAGCAATGGGACCTTTCTAAAGAGGGAACCTCCTTGGTGAATCACCAAGGAAATGACTATAATGGCTTCAGTTGAATAAGTGGGGGTGGGGGTTTTTCCTTCACATGCCTCTAAGCACAGTGAGATGGCCAGACTCTGGAGATCAACTCTCCTCTCTGTAGATGGTAGCAGCAAGGTTTTTTTTTTGTTGTTGTTGTTTTTTTTTGTTTTTGTTTTTTTTTTACCAGAACCAGTTCTGACTGTCTTCTTTCACATAGTTCCTACAGGCACATTTAATTGAAACTCACCTCAGTTTCTATCCCTTGGATGACCATATAACCATGACTACAGCTTTCCAGAGCTCCTTACAGATCTGTGTCTCAGTTACTTTTGTTGATGGAGCCTGACTTTTGTTGTTGATGACTCTTGAACTGCCAAATTTATGTCCTTGTTGGGTACTGGAAATATAAAAACATAAATGCCAGGGTTTCTGATCAATCATCAAGAAAGTCTAGAAAAAGGACCCCAAGTAAAGAAGTTTCTTCAGTAAGCACTCACTCTGATTCTGCTGAGAAGAATCTGCAGTGCACCTGTCCTCCATTGACATTTCAGGCAGAATCCAACTGGATGAAACTCATTACTGGAAGTTAAAATACAAATTTCTTAAGATTAAAGAGGGTGTCAGCCTACCAGAGAAGAGCTTCTACCTAGCCAGTTTTTCCCTGAAAACTGCTGCAGTTAAATTATTTTATTAACTCTTTTATTACTCTAAAAAACATATTTTTTGGTCTCATCTGTTCATTGGCTCTCTGTAATTGCACTCCAATGTGTGTCCTTACTCAGGTTTGCCAAACACACACTAGTTTATTTGACTCAAATTCAGGGTGCAGTCAGTAACCACTGTATGCATCTACATATATGTTTTTTACCATAGTATAATATTTTGTAATTTTTTCTTGGGTGGAAACTGTATTGGAAAAGAAAGAAAACTTTTTTAAAATCAGTTTATCATTTTATTAAACTAGTTTTCCTATCAGTAAAAGTTTCACAAAAAGAAATTTAGATTTCTGTAAGCCCTTGCTTCCCTGAATAAAACAGTGGGAACAAGGCTTCTTTTCTACTTGATGTGACATAATTCAGTCTCAACATGAAAAGCTTATAATTAGAATGTTTTAAATGTTTAATGATGTGTAGCAAATGTGTATATACATATATATATATATATGTGTGTGTATACAACTTACAATATATACATGTTATATAGTATATATGTTATATATGGTAGAAGGTCCTCTTATTTTTAGTGGTAATTTATGAGTAGTGTTCGGTATAATGAAGTTACTTCCTGATAGAAATATGCACATCAGTTAGTGTACTATTGGTAGATTTCTCTCTCTCTCTCTCTCTCTCTCTCTCTCTCTCTCTCTTCTTTTAGCTGTCAATGGACCTTTGTTTTATTCATTTATATGCAGTGCTGAGACTTGAACCCAGTCCCTCACACATGCATGGCAAGCACTCTGCCACTGATCCACAACCCTAGCCCTCATGTTGATAGATCTCTATTGTCCTTCTATCCTGGTTTTATAGAGTTAGTAGACAAATGAATATAATATTTGGCTGATTTCCAGAGTATATATAACACTCTGATATAAGATATTTCAATTTTTAATGTGTACTTCTCTAGTTTTTAAATCTAATTTATTTCAAATCTGGAAAATTAGGTGTCTCCTTAGAATACTGATTAGGCAATCTTCATATAATTCATTAGTGATATAATTTTACCAGACAACTATCTCTCAGATTCTTCCTCAGAATAGTGTTGGTCATTCATTTGGTGATGCACATCAAAGAGAAAAAGATGGTATAAATGCACATACAGAAGGTAAGAACCACTCATTATAAAATCATTGGATATAATGCATGTTTAAAACATGAGCACTAGTATGATTTAATAGTGGAAGAAATGAAAATAATAAATAGTATGGGAATTGAAATAGTGTATCTTATCAAGTTGCAACCACAGGGTAAGTTGGAGTGGTCCTAGAGGAGTTGAGATATTAGGTCCATTTCCAGACCTGCTTAAATTAGAGGAAAGTTGGGACATAAGAAAGGGGAGAGAAGAATTTGGAAATGAAGAATGAGAAAGACTATAGACAACAACAACCAAAAAAAGAAAAAGAAAAAGAAAAAGAAACAATAAGCAGATGCACATTGATGATGGCCTGATAAAACATTCCTTGGAAAGATTATGACTTCTAATAAACATCTACAAATTAGAGTACAAAATAGGGAGAATTAGGTGAAACAAATGGCCAGGCACATGGTGCATGCCTATATTCCCAGTGGCTCTGGAGGCTGAAGATGGAGAAATAATTTTTATTTTAAAGCCAGCTCAGTAACTGAATGAGGCCCTCAGAAATTCAGCAAGACCCTTTCTCTAAATAAAATATAAAAAGGCATGTGGATGTTGCTCAGTAGTTAGATACCCATGTGTTCAATCCCCAGTACCAATAACAAGATAACAAAGCAAAAAGAAACATCAAATAGGCATGTTAAGTTAGAAGAATTGGTAGAAGATTAAGCATGCATAAGAACTCTCAAATTTTATTAAATCATATGTTGGGGACCATGTACAAAATGTATGTTCTGACTCAACAGGTCTTTGTTTCAACATCCTGAATACATTTAAAGATGCTTCCAATGCTCCTTGATCCACAGACTACATTCTGAGTTGCAAGAGCAGTTGAAAGAATTGCCCTTTAGAAAATCTAAATTAAGAGCCATTGTGTCTTAGTTCATGCCATAACTATATTAAATTAGAGCATAAATCTTGCTTTGTTTTTTATTATGTCTGTTGGAAAAGGGGAAGAACAAATGAATGAAACATAGAAATTGTATTTTTTAAATGTTTTTTGTAGTTGTACACAATAACTTTATTTATTCATTTATTTATATTTATGTGGTGCTGAGGATCGAACCCAGAGCCTTGCATGTGCAAGGCAAGCACTCTACCGCTGAGCCATAACCCAAGCCTCAAATTGTATTTTTAAAATATTTTTTAAGTTGTAAATTGACACAATACCTTTCTATTATTTATTTTATATAGTGCTGAGGATTAAACCCAGTACTTCACATGTGTTAGACAAGCACCCTAAGACTGAGCCAAAACCCAGCTCCTAGAAATTGTATTTTTAAGATACAGTTACAGCAATTGGAAGAAAAAGTAGTGGGAATAATCTAAACAACAACAACAACAAAAGAATCAGACCACAGATCTGGAGATAGCTTTTGAAAATCAAAGGGAGGGGGTAGTGAGGAGGGAATAAAATTAGCTAGGTAATTTTGAAGGTAATAATAAGGAGACTGAGGTAATGCATTTCAGCTGGTTTCATTATATTTGCCTTCAAACAAAAGTGAGAATTACTGGTCCAGAGATAGTTTTAAGCAGGGGAAACTGTTAGAATTGGGGCAACCAGCCACTTTAATTTCTTTGCTCCATAACTACCAACTATAGGGAAGTATTGATATCAGTATTTGAGACCAGAAACATAGCATTTAAGAAACATGGGGCATTTTAAAAGACAGTTTTTTTCTTTAATGAAACCATGGCTTTGGGCATGCTAGGAATGCACTCAATTACTCTGCCAAGTCCTTTTCTCTAAATAGCTAGTATTCTGATATGACAGATATTTTATGAAAATCTTTGAAAGTCTAAGAAGTTATATCAAACAAGGCTCATTTTGTAAACAGCAGACTCTTTAGGTTAATTTGTAGAATACCAAAGCTATTATTTTTTGTATATATGCTAATGAATTTGAAATATAAAAGGTTATTCATGTCTGATAATTCTTTTGCATTTCAGTTCACTTTTCCCCTTTGGATTACCATATATTAATATTTTATGCTTAATAAAATTATTTATTAGATGCAGTTCCTATGTCTTCTCAAATGAATGAATCAAGAAACTTTGAGTGGGTCAGACCAGAGGATATATTAAAAGAAGATACACCACTCTCCTCCATGGGTATGGAAAAATGATTATTTTAATAAGTGTATACCAAAGCTGATCATTTCTCAGAACTCTCTTCAATGCAAATGAATTATACTTTCCACTTGATGGTTATCACAACTTTGGACTTACTATATTGTAGGACAAATGGAGGAACAGGATACATACCTGTAATAAAGTTAATTAAATGATTGTGATAGGCTACATTAAACATACCTGCTGTTAAATTATTTTCTTTATTTTATATATTTATGCCCCAAAGTTTTTCCTTTGCTCCTCTGATTAGATATCCCCATTCCCTCAATCAATCCACACCTTTACTTGGTATGTGTGCATTCCCTATTATATTTGTGGTAATTGGAACTGTAATCTCACTTTTGAAAACTTAACTCTATGCTTAATTAAACTAATATTGGATGTTTTTCTTCAATATATTTGAATCATGCTGCTGTACTCAACAAAAACCAGCAAACACAGAAGTCCAAATGCTAAAATATTATTTATCAAAGCTAACCCATGGAACTTGACTCCATGTCAATTCAGCAAGAAGGTGTGGGTGATTTTGTCGTATTCATGTTTTGTGGATTGTGTATCCCTTTTGCTTTTCAGTATTTCAGAATTTCACACATCCTGTTGTGAAGGTAATTATAAACTTCTATGTTTATCTTGAATTATTAACTGTGTATATAAAATGTACAACACATATTTAGTATCTACTTTCCAAACCCATACAGCCTATCTTAGACAGGAGGTATTTTCTTCAAAAGAATACAGTGGGGACAACAGAAGAAAGGATATGCAAATCAGGTAAATATATATATATATATACATATGTGTGTGTGGATATATATATATATATATATATATATATATATATATATATATAACATACATATACACATACATACACATTCCAGTGTCTATCTTGGCATACAAGTTTAAAATTATATCTTTAAAATCACAGCAAAATGATTTCTAAAAAAATCTTTATCTCAGACATTTTTAAAATTAAAGTTCCCGGAATTCTTATACCTGTTAGGTGAATTATGAGGCTCTGTTTTCCTCCAAAATTTTATAAAAACTTATTGCATAGCTGCCAATAATTTCCAAATCTTGAGAGATGAACATAAAAAATATGTGTCTGAACCCAGAGACTAAGTATAGTGTGTGAAAAAAGATCCACTTAAAATTTAATTTCAATTATAATACTCACTTTATTGAATAATTACATTGAACCCGTGTTTATTTTATGAAGCTGTAGATTCTATGTCCTTCATCAGTTGTGATTATCTCTGTATTAAACCATACAAAGTATTATTGTGTATTTTTTATATTATTCATTTTCTATAAAACTAATAGAGCATTTTTAGGAAATTACTCTTTTATGATTTTTATTGACCCAGAGTTGTAAATTTAAAAATACTTACACAAACCACTTTATATACTCCCTCTTCATGCTTTTCTTTCTTTTTTTTTTTTTTGTTTGATTTTGTTTTCAGTTTACTTTTCAATGGTGGGGAATGAACACAGATACTTTGGCATGCTAAGCAGTGGCTCTGCCACAAAGCTTTTTCTCTTATTCATTCGAAGGTTGGGTAAATCCAAGATTCAGGAAACTGACCCCCAAGCACTAAAATGAGTCCCTTAACATACAAAAATGAGAAATTCAAATATTACATGGAAAACCCTAAGAACTTAAACAGTTGCTGTGTTTTATTTTACATGTCATTTGAAACCTTGTGTAACAGTACAGAGCCTCTTATTCCAGAGACCCAGCTTTGTCCTTTATTACTTAATGAAACTTCATCCTACACTGGTCCCAGAAAATGATATATCCTCTATTTTTCATGGAACATTTTTTCCCTTCTGGCCTGCTTCCCTCTATTTGGCACTCCTGCCACCTTCTTATTCATTTCTACTCATGAATATGCTCTTCACACTCATCCTATCTTCAGCATTTGGAGCCATCTAGCTACAATGCAAATGTGACTCTGAACCTCTCTAGAAGATAAAAGGCCAACTTTTAAAATTACTCAGAAATCTTTCATGAGTTCAACCTAATACTTTATCCTTTCCCTTAATTTTACTGTCATCTGGATGGCTCCTCACCAATCCCTATATTTTCACACAAATACTGACCCATTTAATGCTTCACTCTGTGTCTAGCTTGAGCCTTTTAAGCTTTCCCCATTTTCTGCCTCTGACTGGTAACCTCATTCCTTTAGTCTCTGCTAAATCCTATCTCTACGAAAGCCACTATTCCTGGCACCTTTTTACTCTATTCTCATAGGGAACATAATAATCCTCAGTTCAAATAAACTGTTGATGCTGAGGTGATGTAAAAGAGGTCTTCTCAAGTTCAGGAGCCAAAGGGCTAGACAGGGGAAGGAGTAATTTACAAGTCAACTGGTAGATATCCAGTTGAACAGTGGCTGAAATGCTGGGATACTTCAAAGGGGTAAAAAACAGTTTATGACAAGGAGATTGATAATCATGCAGGACTGAGCAGAACACATTTTTAGAGTAATGTAGAAAAACAATGCATATGCAAGATGTTCATTGATAACAGTAGAGAAATTCTAAGTCACTGTGGAAATGACTACTGATGAATCATTGTTTTAAAAAGTTACTGTTATAGGGAATAGAATAGCAAATTGTGTGCATCCCCACATTTCTATAGTGTTTTTAAAATTTAATTCTGGCAAATTTTCATTCATCTTGAGTGGATATACCTTTGAGATATTCTTGTTTCTTAAACCTGGTGATACATAGTGTCTCCTCAGGTAGACTGTTGAAGTTTTATACCACTAAAAACATTCCCTGAAAAAAAAATTCTCTGCTGGGTACAGTGGATCACCTCTAAACACAGCTATTGGGAGACTGAGACAAGAGCATGGCAAGTCTCAGGCCAGAACAAACACCCAGTTTCCAAAAATAAACAAATATACAACTCTGGCAGAGCTCTTGCCAATGTTGCAATGTTCTAGGGTTAAATCACTGAGTACACACAAGTATAACCCACCAATAAACAGTTAAAGAGGTAATATCACCTAAAATTCAACCTTATTATTACTTTTTTTATCTTGGCAGACTATCATTCTCTCTAAATGTTCTAAGTAGTTTACGTAAATCTACATACATTTTTCATCTGAACCACTTTGGTTCTCATCATCTGAAGAAGAGGAGGAAGGTCTTGATGACACCAAAAGTAAGCAGCAACAGGTGTGTTCACTCACATATATATTTTAAACTTCTAATTTCTTACTGTATTCCTAGTTTTAAGAAAGTCAATATGGGCAAATTCGATTATCTTTCATAACAGTGGTTTGAAATCTAAAGATGATAATTTAATATTCAAACCTAATAGAATTTAACTGGTTATGAATCTGAAAATAGCATTAAAATTCAGGATAACATGTAGATAAACATTATCCTTGTGATTCGGGCAGAATTTTTTCCTGAATATTATTTGGGTTTCCATTATTTTAACCCCTGAAAATGATGACAAAGTTAAAATTAGTGCTTTTGTGAATAACCATTTTAATTAATGAACATATACAGTGGTGATGGTCATTGAGTACATTTATGGTAAAGAATGGTCCTTCCCAGTGGCTCAGTTTTAGTTACATATAAACATGGAAAATCACACCCATCTCAGGTGCTCTATGGGTATCACAGGCAGAGTGAGTAAAAAGACACACATACATGCAGATCCTAATCAGACAGCAATTTCAGACCAGTTTTTCTCATACACTCAAATGTGCATAGCTCACACACCCAGCCCATGGATGGCTGGTGAAATCCTTGAATTTATTTACTATTCTAAAAAACAAAATTCTAGGTTTCATTTGGTCTGAGGCTCTCTACAGTGCCTCTCCAGGTTTTCTTTTTTTCCATAGCTGCTCTTTTTTTTATCCAGAATGCACACAGGAGCCAATATGACTCAAGCTCTGAAAAATGGTCAGGAAGTGCTTTCCATTTTTGTGCTGTAATTTTTCTTCATTGGTGTACTTTTTAGTTCTCTCTCAGAGGAACATGTTGTTTACTCTACCCAATCCTGTGTGTTGCTTTCTAACAGTACAATATAAACATTTCTTCACCCTACTTTGTCATTTTATTTAACTGGATTTTCTCTCAGTGAAACACTTACTATAAGGGCCTTAGATCCTGTGAGAGTGTGATGACCAAAATGAGGCAAATCCAACAAAGTCTTATTCCTGCTCAACATTACATAATTCCAACTCTCTTATCATACTGAGTCTCATATTTTAACACTAAAGAATTCTGTAAGTCTGTTTTTAAAACATGTAATGCAACATAATATTAATTATATTTCTCAAGACTGTTTAATTAAGCATTTAATGCATTCTCATATTGGAGGTTGTGATATATGGTTGTTTACACTCTTAGAATACATGCATTTATGTTATTAAATTTTCAGGGAATACCTTTTCTATGATATCCATCCTGCTTTTACCAAATCAGGAGCCATTGGAAGACAAGAGTTCAGCTTCATCTGAAGCACAAATTCTAGGTTGCCCTGTGGAAAATATGACTGTACTTATCTACATTTTAGTTAGCTGCTTTCAAGACCAAAATTTGGGTGATGTCTAAAAGAGTGATAGTGAAGTTTTCATGCAGCTCATTGGGGTCCTTTATTTTGCAGGTATTTTCTGAGGGTGGTCCACAGATGTGCATTTCTCACTCATCTGGAGAGAAACATTATATAGCAAAAGAGAAAGCAGATGGACATGTCCATGGTAAGAACTACATACTCTACACAGTTCTTTGGATAGAATATTGATTTCTAACATGAGTGCTGATTTATTCTAATACTTGGAAAAATGAACCTAATAAACAGGTAATAATGCAAAGTGAGAAAGATAATGAGTTGTCTCTCTTAAGGCCAAAATCCAGCAGCAGGTTATAGTGGGAGTGTCCCTCTTAGTTTCTATACAAGAAATGCATAGATAATAGGGGAATTGGAAATTGTGAAGTAGAGAAGATAAGGGTGAATAAACATTGGGAAAGGCAGAGAGAGTGATTGCAGTGAGTAAATGAAGGAAAAAGAAGCCATGAAGGCAGATAAATTTTAGTCATGTACCAGAATAAAAAGACCACCTGTTCAAAATGTGAAAAAAATGGGAGTTTCCAGTTGTGCAAATGACTCAAGGTGTGAATATTTTTTCTCACCACTCATTTCTGAGTTGTCATTAGAAAGGAATTGACATGTGAAGAACTGATCATGAAGAAAGGAAGTTTTTTTTTTTTCTTTTTAAGTGAAATATTCATAAATCCATGTGTCTGGTCATAAATTTATATAAAACAATATTGTAAGTAAAACAAATAAAAAATAAAAATACCTATACCATAGACATTTTTGCAACTACATGGGATGAAGCACAGATGGCAGACACAGCAGTATGGGAAGTGGAAAAATGTGCAAATTGTTATGGACTGATACATAAATTCATATGTTTTTAAAATATTCTTTGGACAATTTGGAAAGGAGAAGGGAGAACAGACATTGAGAAAAGCAGTGAGAATACATTGAGTAAATGAAGGAGAAAGGACTTCTTCTCATCCTTCAGGTTTGGGAACATCATTGGGTGGAAACCTGGCTCTATTATCTTAAGGCATTTGAAGGCAGGGAAATGAGAAGCAGACTAAGTGCAGACCCAGATTCTCAGACTCTAATAGATCATCTGTGGGGAACCCTATTCAAAATGCATACTCTGACTTACCTGGCCTGCACATCTCTGTTTTCTTCCATGTAAGGTGATTCCAATGATCACTATCTGCCAGCC